GGAATAGAGAGTGCTAGAGTTAGAGGGTCAAATAAAGATGGAAGAGATGTGTTTTTAGCCGATTCTTGAAGATGGGATTAAGTTGGGCAGGTCGTTCCACCAGGAGGGAATATTTAATTTAAAAGTCAGAGAAAGTGATTTTGTGCCTCTTTGGGATGGCACAATAAAGTGACGTTCACTTGCAGAATGCAAGCTTCTAGAGGGCACATAAAACATCCATTTATATAAATGTATCTGTTTAGGAATAGGATCAAGTGGACAAGTAGTAGGTTGATTAGAAAGGATGAGTTTGGAGACTTCTGCCTCAGAGAGTGAAGAGAAGGATGTGAACGAGTGTATGTTTGCTGGTAAGATGTGCTTGACAGATTGTGGTGTGGAAAATTGTGCACTGATGGTTTTAATTTTATTAATGAAGAACGTGGCAAAGTCGTCAGCTGTTAGAGTTGATGAAGGAGGGGGAGGAGGAGGACAAAGGAGCGAGGAAAATGTTTTAAAGAGCATGCAAGAGTTAGACGAATTGTTAATTTTGTTATGATAGACATTAGCAGAGAAGGAAGAGAGGAGTGACTGATACACATTAAGGTCAGTAGTATTTTTTGATTTGCGCCACACCCTTTCAGCAGCCCTGAGCTTAGAACGATGCTCGCGATAAAAGAAAAAATATAAAACCATATTAATGTTGCCTCTCCATCACTCTCCAGAATAAAATGATACTGTAAATATCATCGACATAATAATCAATGCATAATATCATGTAATGTTTACCAAAAATTGCTGCAAATACCTGTATAGTGAAGCTGTCATCTATTCTACTTAAACCCGTTCAAAGTCTCATCTCAGCACTTTTGATGAATGGCTATGCTATTTTTAATTTTGTCATTTCATTTGAATATCAGCATTTGTGAGAGTTAGTCAGTCTAAACAGTTTTGAGGTTAATTGATCTAATTTTGTGTTTTTGGAAAATAGTGATGTCTGACATTGTTTTGCTGAATATCAAAGTTGATTTTGTGTCTGTTTGTTCATGAGGGATCTGTGGACATATAAGTGTTTTTGGATTTGTGGAGTAAAATGTAGTTTTTATTTTGAAGTAAAAAGATAAAATTAGACCCTTGAGGTAAGATGGCCCCCTCACAATCAGCACTGGAGGCCCCAAGCGACATATTGTTACTATAGCATTATTATTTTTAAATGTAATATTTACTGTAATTAATGGGGTTATTATTTAACATTTCCATGAAATAGATCCCCCCCTTCAATTAAAAAAAAAATATATATGTATATATAAAATAAATAAATACATAAACAAACAAACAATTCTGTATATGTTTACACAGGTTGCCTTTGTTTTATATTTCGTTTGAATATAAAAAAACTATTTTCTATGAAATCTACACAAAAACAAAAGAAATCAGAGAGATGAGTATGCCTATTGTTTTGTATATGTATGTAACGATTGTTTATTTTATTGTTGTAGATGGTTCTGCAGTGGCACAAACAGTGAAATCTGCTAAGACTGGATTCACTGGACAGGATGTACTTTTATCATGTAACTGTTCTAATGACCCCAAAGAACTGATATGGGTAAAAGGTCAGAGAGTAGTGAATGTTCATCCGCATGACAAAAGCATCATAGATGAGTCCTATGTAGATAGGACGCAACTCTTCCTAAACAAGGAGAAGAGAAACTGCTCCCTGCTGCTCCTCAGCATCTCTTCAGCGGATGCAGGACTGTATACCTGTCATGCCCTAGTCAGTGTTAGTGACAACGTCTGGTCAAAGAGGTCATCAGAAGTTAATCGAACAGGTGAGTTGTCTAAATTTGAATTTACTTTAATAAGTTTGAGAATGTTTTACTCTACATTAGACTAGTATTTTTTATAGACTAATTTTTTTTTATTAAACTTATTTCCTGCTAAAATAACTATCGTGATCTATTATTATCGTGAAACAAAATTACTCATATTGTGAAAGACGTTGGTCATATCGCCCACTGCTAGATCAGTTTCTCATGGAGATACTGTATGGACACTAAGCACAAATTTTCAACAAATATATTTGTTGAGCACCTATACTTTTAATTAACAAAACTATCAGTTCTTAAAAAAAGCTCAGAAATAGATTATCACAAAACCACTATGTTTTATGTCAATACCTGGTAGATCTTCTGCAAGCATCTCTTCTCTTG